GAGTGAAATGGTGCCCTAAACACTTCCTAAGGCTTAAACATGAAGTAGGAATGCTTCTTATGATCTTTAAAGCTTCAAAACTCAAAATGGTCAAAGTACCATGAGTTTACGGCTGTAAACTCATGGGTTTACGACCCTAAACTCATTGAGTGATGGTCACAAAACCGTAAACTCCAAGGGAGTTTACCCTTGAACCCTAAACCCAATAGCAATGTCCTATAACACTTAGATGCAATCTTTAGCACTTATAACACTTAAATAAGGTGTTTTGCATGTCCTAGGATGTCTTAACTTTGTTAATTAGTTGTTTAAAGACTAATTGGATACATATATGTGTTATTATATGTTAACTAGGATCATTGTGTGTGTACAAGTCTTCACTTGACACCTAGCAATCCTATATCATCAGTTCTTCCAAACCACTCACTACAGGTGAGTTCATACCCCTTAATTAACCTTTTAATTGTTTTTAAATGCTTTTATGGGGGGAATACAAGTTGAACTATTATAGTTATTATATCAATCACATCTGATTAATAACTACCAAACAAGTGGATTTCTTACTTTTCAAACTGTGTTATCAAATTGTTTTACTTCAAACTGTTTTACAAACTCTTTTTCATATCAAATACTTTTATTAAACTCTTTTAACTTATATTCTGTGTATCTATGTAGATATAGTTATATAAGTAGGATTGAAAGGACTTAGGACTGATAGCTCACCTTACTTCCTGTTCCTTGTTTGGTTGTGGACTTAGGGTATTCAGGTTATTTGTCCGAAGGTCGTTTGAATCCTAGTTATATATCATGTATATGTGTATAAGTATAAAAGGTTACTTCATTCAGTTCAATACCTTTGGGTAGCAAAGGTACACAAACATGTTCATACATTCAAACAACATTACTAGTAAACTATAATAGGTATAGTTTAGGGAGATACTAATACTATTACTAGAACAGGGAAACATACAATGAGTCAGTTCATACATGAGTCAATAACAAACAAACAATAGATACGATGATGAGAAACAAACAATAGATACTATGATGAGAAACAAACAATAGAATACTATGATGAGAAACAAACAATACATGCTAGACAGGGAGAGAACACACAATACAACTAGCACATACATATACTAGAACATTATTACATTTATGTGAGCCACGTAACGGGGCATGACACTACCTGTCATGACCGTTTTGTATCAAGAATCTCCTTAAGTGGGGAGCGTATGAGTTTGTGTATAGATCTATACTGGATTGACTATCCTACACCTTGCTGCTCGCTACAGTGGGACTTGCAAGCCTACGGGTGCCAAACGTCATTTCTTACGACGTCTTACATCGTCGTTTTTCTATAGATTCGGTAGCAGGATACAGGCCGATCATATGATACTTTAAATAACAATTGGTTTAAGGTAGTTAGTACAGCAGTAGTTACTTAATACAACACTACAGTACTATTTCATTTTCCCATTACATTTACTTTGTGATCTTCACACAATAAACAATAATGTAAAAACTATATTTTTGGTTAATGATAGTAGGATTTGGGAAAATACACACTCTTACAAGAGACACACACACAGATACTAGATGCCTTGGTAGAAGGCTACTTTTAGTAGGAAACATAGGGTTTTCTAGGAGAGTTCAAACAATTACAAACTTTTACAAACTTATACAATTACAGACTTTCAAACACTTTCATACAAACACATACATTAATATACTTATGATCTCATCAGCTTTAAAGCTGATAAACTCTTTCAAAATAACTTGTATTCTCAGGTCACCAGTAGACAGGTACCGGTGCCAGGTTTTGAGAAGATGGAGCTCGTTCAAGACTCATCTTTTATTTTGATGTATATTTTTGGTGTCTATATAACTTCACAGAACACACTTGTATGAAATTATATTATTAATGCAATGGATGATGTTGTTGCTTGTTTACTACTTTGCATTGTTGTGATACTGAAACTGACGTCCTCCACCCCCGAACGTTTCCGTCGTTCCGGTTTTGGGGTGTGACACAAAACTCGCTTGGGACTCAAACACGAAACTCAAATTTGGCTAAAATAAAGTGGAACCCAAATTTGAATCACACATTCGTTTCACAACGGTCGAAAATCAGGTGAGTTTGCATCACACCGAGGTTTACATTAAATAAGTATACAAAATTAAAAGCGGTATCACAAACCAAAATGAACTAGGTGACTCACAATTCCAAGTGAGGTCATGATACTTGATGATGTATTGTACGTTTTTTGGAATACAACTTGCTTCCGAAATGACAATAATCTATGACAAGAATCAAAGTTTTCAAAATATATTAATATAATTATGTTTAAACATATTAAATAAACTTTATATAAAAACAAAAATCCAGTTTCATTTTTCGTTAAGAAATTTTCAAAATTTATTAATATAATAACGTCTAAACATATTAAATAAATTTTATATAAAAACAAAATCGACTTTCATTCTCCGTTAACAGTCAAGTTCTCAAAATTTATTAATATAATAATGTTTAAACATATTAAATGAGTTTTATAGTATAATATAAAACTTAATAAAATCAATAGATAGGTATACATCTAATTAGGGGGTACAGAAAAAAAATTCTGCCAAACAAAATGGGTCGGATAATTTGAAAGAAAAACAATGGTCGGATGAAGTTTATGAACTCGGATCGGGTACGTGGAAGGTGGGTAAGTTTGTAGGTAATCCGAGAAAATGTTTGTGTTTTGATCGGACGACAGATACATGGTCTTGGGAATATAGGGCTAATGAAAGGTGGTTTCACATTGGATTCTTTTAAAAAGCATAAACCGACAAGACTTAATGGGTGGCAGGTGGAAAAAGTCTGTTGTTAGAGAAATGAGTGTATATAAGTCTTTAATTGCAGGTGGGGCCCGGTGATATTGCATGTCGCATGAAGACTGGATGCGTGCGATACACTCGCCGACAAGAGAACTGAACGTCCGGCTGTTTTCCATTCTAATACATAGACGCATATAAGATTGTACAATAACCATTACAACATGTACAATTTACAGTCTGTATTTTCGGATGAATGATATCTTTTTATCTCCGATACCTCCTTTCTCGGATGCTTTTGGTATGCCCAAATGAACGTCGATGCATCCACCATATCTACAGAAATGATTCTTAGGGATACAACACAGCTTTTTTCTCTCAATCCTAACGACTTCGATGAATCAGTTCGAGTTATGATTGAGTTCATCTCAATCCATCCTATTCACGTCCCTCTTACTAAAATTCCAAACCCAAAATTTCCATTAAGGCTTCTAGAACTTGCATTCAAACGGGTTCTTGTTAAGGACGATTGTATTGAAGTAACGATTATAGATGATCGTGTTGCAACTGTCACCAAATCGACATTCTTAAGGGCAGTTGGAGTTGAAGAAAACCCAGATGGTTTCGTTGCCACAGAGATAGCTATGGATCAATTTCAAGCATTTCTTTCTGAAATCGGGTTCAAAGGCACTTATAAAGCAAAACTTTTCAACAAATCTGCAGTTCCTGGGTTGTGGACTGTTCTTCTGCACATTATCATGAAAGGGTTGTCTGGTAAACATGGAGGATCAGACTCAATGAGCAAAGAGTGGTTAAATCTTGCCTACAGTTTTTTTACTGGATTTTCTTCTACTGTTGATCTTCCAAAGGTGATGTGGGATGATTTCTGCAAGTTCACTAAGAGACGGAAAGACAACGAGATCCCATCTCCTCGATTTTGGGCTCTCACGCTTCAACAATTGTATTCGGACTTGGGGATTCCGATTTCGACCAACTCATCCGAGGAAGAGGTATATGTTTCTTTTAAAACTATTAAATCTTATCGCATCCCAAATCAATCCGATTTTGGGGCCATCCGACGATTGCCTGAACATATGCTTTCTATTCTTCCTTCCGATTCTCCTTTCAAAGCTAAACATTTGGCCGATACTGATCCGAATAACCCGTCCATTCCTACCCCGTCACCATCTGTGTCTCCCTCGGAAAGAGAGAAACTGACCTCTTCCAATGCTAGGAAGAAGCAATTGCCCAAGGCAATCAAGAAACGACATGCAAAATCCCCAACGAAAACTAAAGCCTCAAAGAAAGCAAAAACTGTTGAACCCTCTGAAAAGGATTCACAGATCGGTGCTTCAAAATCCTCTCAAAATGAACCACTCATATCCTCTCAAAAGGATGGACATGCAAAATCCCCAACGACAACTAAAGCCTCAAAGAAAGCCAAAAGTGTTGAACCCTCTGAAAAGGATTCACAGATCGGTGCTTCAAAATCCTCTCAAAATGAACCACCCATATCCTCTCAAAAGGATGATGTAGCTGTTGAACATAGCTCCTTGCAGACTCATTTACAGCGTATTATTCCTACTACACAATCACGACCTATGGAAATTGTCACAAGTCCCAAGCAATCTGATACCAGGGTTGTCCCTCCTGTGTCGGAAATCCCAAGCAATCCAATACTTTCGGGTGCTACTAATGTTCCATTTTTAGATCCAATTGTTTCTGATGAAAGAATTGACAAAGACGAAAAGGATTTTGATGAAAATTTATTTGAAAAAAATGATACCAAAGTGTCGAATGTTCAAATGCCATCTGGTTTAACCAAGTATTTACAAGTCTCATCTTCCAAGCCACATATAGATATTGATCTTCAATCTTCATCAGATGAGATAAAGGAGACTTCTGGTAATGGTTCTTCTGATGATGGTAATGATAACGATGAAGAGTATAATGATGATGAAAGCGAGGATAACTCTGATTCAGACAAAGTCACTGTTGACCCATCCGATTTCATCCATGTCAAAAAAAAGGTTGAATCAGTTGGAGTCAAAGTCAACTCTCTCGACAACAAACTGGATCTTGTGATCAAAGCTCTTACAGAGATCAAGGCTTCAACTCCATCTATCCAAGACAGAGAAAAGCAATTAGATGAACTTATCTCTCTAAGATTGAAGCATTCAATGGAAGTGTCTGAAGCTCGTTTTAATGAAACCCTAAAGCACCATATGGGGATGATGGATCAGATGCTGAAAGTTCATAACGATATTGTCGATGCTGTTAAATTGGACGCAATACACAAGGTGGTTGAAGATGTTATGGAAGAATTAAAGAAGCAATCACCTACAGTAGACACATACGATAATCTGTCCAAGATTATTAATCTAAGCTTCGGAAAGGTTTTGGAGAAGATTGGGGGACTGAAAGACCAGATCAAGCTTGCTCCAATGGCTGGGGCATTCGATGCAAGAGGGAAAGAAGGTGTTTGTGATCTGAATATGGAATACAAGTTAAGGGATGATGATTCAGATGAAGAAATGCAAATATCTCCATCAAAGAAAACTTCCGCAACCGAGAAGATCATATCCAATGAAGCCAAGTCCCAATTGTCTACTTGGCCAGTTACTTATTCTGAAGTAGTAACCAAACGTTTACAAGATGCTAAGGCCAAGAGACTGAAATTAATTCAATCCTTTAAAGCTTCTCAATCAACCCATTCAGTGAAACGTCCGATTATTGCACCTATTGATCAATGAGCCTAAATCCAAACTGTAACAGTGTAACATCTATGTGATATTTATAATCTATTTTCTGACAGGAATATCAAATTCCAATTTTGTCGTAACAGAATCGTCAGTGGCGAATCTAGAACAAAAAATCACATGGTTCCTAAATTAAGTGAAGCCAATAAAAAAAATCAACAACACTTTTGGGATCGGGTCGGGTCGGCTCATGTACCTTGTGCCACCGATTAAAAATTTTAAAAACCGATTGAAATATAACTGGAAAAGGCGTACGGTTTAACGAAAAACTAGTTGATTATTAGTCCATTGATAAAGCGGCAAACAAAGAGTGAAAGTCTTTGGCATGCGGGCTTTCATTAGAACAACTTATTTATTTATTAATATTAAGACTGGTAAACTTTTTGTTATCAATCCTATAATTTAAAATAACAAATTACCCCTAATAACTTATATTTTTTTCTTTTTAAAATGGTTTTTTAAGAAATTCTTTTAAAAAACAAAGTCAAGGTAGGTCTTCTATTTTTTCCAAGGTAGTTCTTAATTTTTCTATTATATACATTGTAAATAAAATTGAGAACTTAGGTAGGTCCTAGGACCTACCTAAGCACATGGTGGATACGCCCCTAGGAATCGTGAATTCCATGTAAACGTAAACATTGAATTACCAAACACACCACATAATGGTATCTTGTGATTTCACTTATCTATGATTTTGGCTATTTAAATACTTTTTTTCAACAATACAAATCTATATATTCTTTTTTTTTCCATCCAAATTTTGTAGTTGTTGGTATTTAAAAGAGTATTATTGTACTAGATTTTTTTTTAGAATTTTGATTATTATGGTGAAGATATCATTTGATTGTATTGTTCTTTGAAGCATCTTAAATTGGGAACTTAACATGTTTTTCTGCGGGTTTAGGTTATGAAGAAGCTATCATTGATGTGGAAAAGAAAGAAAACATGGAAAAAGTGAATACTTTTTGGGATAAAAGAATGTATATTGGCATAATTGAATGTATTATGACATAATGTTTTAGAATATTTACCTAATTTTTATTTTAAAATATATACATCAAATGATTCTTAGAATTTTATAACAAATACAATATGGTATGCAAGATTTGGGTTGTAATGTTGGAATTTGGTTTTAAGGATTATCATAAAATTTGGGTTATAATTTAGAATGTTAATTATAGTTGACAAATGTTTTAGAATATTTACATAATCATTCTCTTAGAATATGTATAAATCTATTATATTGTAAGAATATTTATGAATTTTTCAGCATCTCTATGAACACATATAAAATATTGTTATTTTTTAATTAATGGTTAAGAATGTTTATATGTTCATTTTGTCAGAATATATATTTTGTGAGAATACGTATTCCTTCTGAATTTATTATTCTTTGGGATAATCATTGTTATTTTTTGAAAATGTATATATTTTAAATTAAAAGAGTTAATTATCTCCTAGAATTTAGAGCTTCCTTTTTTTAAATAAATTTAAATTTACTGAAATACCCTCATAAGGATACTTAGTATAATAATATTATACATGCATTCTCATTATAATATCCTACGTCCTAAATCAAATCATTTCATTGTTTTCATCAATTGGTCCAGAATCCCCCTACGTCCACACAATAGTTGATGTCCACATTATAACCAAGCCTTATATATATATATATATATATATAATATATATATATATATATATATATATATATATATATATATATATATATATTCCCTAATCTAATAAATAAGTAGATTTTTGCCACGTGACAATTGCTAAACCCCTCCCCAGCTAATTTTCCCGCTCAAATGTCTAACTGAAATTCCACATTTTCCCTTAAAGTGAAACATATTGTGACTAATCGATAGTATCCAAAAAATTCAGCAAGAAATTAGGAAATCTTCTATTTGTTCAACCGTTTCTTCCCCAATTTCTCCAATACTTTTGGAAACCAAACTAGTGATTAAAATTTTAAAAACACGTCAAATCCCCAAATCTTGGAGATTTTATTTATATTTAAATCGACCTGCAGTTTCCCCTAAATCACTTTAAAGCGGACGACCACCACCACAACCTCAACGTATCGGAGCCTTTATCTGGAAGAAGATCGGAACGTCTTGTATCTTCTCACACTGCCATCGGTCATGTTCTTTCAGATAAAATTTATTTCATCTTCGTCTTCTCTCTCGCCAAACCCTAAACCGCCTCCGCCACAATCATAAGTTTTGATAGAATTGATAACTACAAAAGGAAATTGCTTCCATTTTGTATATCTATTTTTGAGGTTAGTACATTGTTTCATATTTCGCTTCCACCACCCATCTGTAAAAGCCATTGTTGAACAAACTATTTGATTTGTGCTTCAGATTCTCATAAATCGCTCTATCTATTCTCTTTCTTTCGATTTTCTATCATCAATTGTTTTTGGGGTTTTGTGTGACCGACACCCATTTATTTATGCCATATCTGATACGATCCAACTTTTGACACCTTCTCATCCCCTTTCGATTCATGTATGATGTTTTTCTTTGTGTGGTTGTTTTTCTTCATGTATGATGACAACTTAGCCAAACATGTCAAAAGCACCAGAATTTCATAACTGCATAGAAGCTTCATATGGACTTCAATGATTTCGTCTATTTGAATACCAATATTTGATTGTGTGGAAATATGAATTTGACGATACCGTGTGAATTATTTGATTATATACAAGGTAATTTCTCTGGTATGCAAATGTTGGACTTTAGTTTTTCTGAATCTATATTGGATATTTGAAGGTTAAAACCTTTTTTCTTTGTGACCCTTACAATCTTCTCTGCTGTTTTTTGGCTTAAGCTTTCTTTTTCAAAAGAACGCCATAAATGTAAGTTATTTATTCAAGTTAATTTCAACCTTAAATTCCTTTTTTAGTTGATTGGATTTTTGATAGTTTTAAGGGTTTATTGTCCTTAACTAGATTTTTGGATCTTAGTTTATAGCCATGATGAAAGAATAGTGGGATTTACATGCTTTTATAAATGTTGTGTGACTTAATATTTGATTATGCAAGTTCCATGTAAATTTCTTATTAGCTGATAAACCGCTTATGCTGAGATGATGGAGATAAACTCTTTAGATGATGGAGATAAACTCTTTAGGTGACTGATCAATTAATATTGTAGATGAGACATCTCAACATACTTAATATGCATGCATCATCAATATTTGTTGCATTGCTACAAAGGTTTACATGGTAAATAAGCTATAGAGTTTTCAAGTTCTTATTATAAGAGAGTCTTCAACCATCCCCATATAGTTTAAATGAAGGAATGCATGCATCATCATTATTTTTCTGATCTTTTGATCATGACATGATTGAAGCATTTTTTGTTTCTGTTTGGCAAAAACAAATGTGTTGGTCAGTTAATAATTTGTTAAAAGTTGACTGACTTCGTTTTGATGGATGATTTATGTTCTAAATTATTTAAGTACGAGCTTGTGTGGCTTTTGTTTTCAAATGCCAATATTGAATCTTATGACATGATGGTTTTCTTTTTCCAGTAACAATCTTAATATTTTCATTAGTTTTTTCTTGTGAATGTATGAGCTTGAAAAATACCCTACCAACATAGATATCTCTAACAACAAGATTATATGTTGTATATAGACAAACTTTGTTTTTCTATATTAGGGAAAATTAGGCAATATCGTATAATTTTTACTCATCATAGCAATATACTTGCTATATTTTACCGGCTACCCGTGGTTTCCACGGGTTGTAACCTAGTGTATATATATATATATATATATATATATATATATATATATATATATATATATGTAACATCCATAAATTTCATGCCAAATTTAAACTTTTCCAATCATAATTAAAACCCCAAAAGTATTTGTTTACAAATTGTTTTCAAAACATTATTCATCAGAGTGTCCCAAAACAGATCATAAGGATGAGGAGCGGTACGGTCACGCCTTTGCCTTGCCACGATCTCCTGAAGTACCTGAAACAAACAACTGAAAACTGTAAGCCCAAGAGCTTAGTGAGCTACCCCCAAAATACCAATACCACACTGAAATACCATATCCGTAATAATCAATCAATCAATCCATCCATCAACATGCATACTGGGCCATCGGCCTGACTGGACCGCCCTACCGGGCCTACAGTCCAACTGAATATATACTGAGCCTTCGGCATGACTGGACCGCCATGTGGGCCTACAGTCTTCCCGGACCGCTCATAGAGTGTGTTGGCCTTCAGCACAAAGCAGGACCGCCTCAACCCCAAGCAACAAGCAAATAACCATGTGCACATAACTAACATATACTGACATATACAACATCAAACATATCTACCTCACTAAGCACCAAACATAGCAATCTCTCATAACTAGAGCACTGACCTAGCAGGTCACTAACATATAAATCCCTACGGATCATAAGAGCATAACATACTGTCTATCCTGACTTTGATCTAACAGATCATATCCACATGTAGCATATCATAACAATAACAACTAAAGGGCCGACCTTGGTGCCGTAGACCCTATTGATATAGTGAGGACAACTCACCTTGCAGATGCCGACTCGGAAGATAAACTCCAACTCTCGTATCACTTGATACAGGCTCCACCACCTATGATCATAGTACAATATACTCATAAGTCCTTAACCTTATAAGGTACTCCATAACCCACCAGTCAACCCCTGGTCAAAGTCAAAGTCCTCAGTCAAGGTCAACAGTCTATGTTGACCCCAACTCGCCGAGTACCCTCGGCTACTCGCCGAGTTCCTTGAAGCACATTCCAACTCACCGAGTCATCGGGGTGACTCGTCGAGTTCCTTCGATTCTCGATCAAACTTTAAGGCCACCCGTCGAGTTCCCTCCTTGCAACTCGACGGATAAGCACGCATACATATCCTAGGGAAAACTCATTCGACTCGCCGAGTTGTTCATCAACTCGTCGAGTCTTATGGTAATCTTCATCGGAATCGCC